TTAACAGAACAGTGACTGGATTTACAAGACATTCAAAAGAAAGGAATGTATCAGACATGTCAGTGATGAGAAAAATCCTGGCCTGTGAGTATATTTAGTACCTTGTTGATGCTACGTAATTATACTAAATATGAAAAAGGTATAAGTCAGCGTTGTCACAAGCTGCTCAAATAAATATAGATTTTTTGCTATAGCATTGAACAGGATAAGTTTGGGAGGTGTAGGCCTTCACACTTGGAGTGAATTGCATATGTTGCTTTACATGTGTATTCATGAACCAGTTGTTTACTTTATATATTAATTTGTGGTGATTTATGCACGTGTGTGTAGATGCTGTTGTGGTCGTCATGAGAATCAGCATGGCAAGTTGACAACTGTTCAAGAAGAAAGTGAAGAAGTTGAGATGGCAAGCAATGCTGCAGAGGAGTCTGCATACAACAGTCAGCCTGAGGATGAATTTGAGACAGATGACAAGGTCAAGTTTGTCAAGAGTCAAGGTTGGTTTAAAAGTCAATGTCTGTACTGTACTTCCGATTAGGGCTGTGATTTCAATAGCTTAATTATTAACGGTAATCATTTTACAGAGATTTTTCATAGATTCTTTGTACACTAAGAAGAACTTAAATCTCTGACTAATAATTATTTGGGCATCAATCCTGTTCACATCATGCTCAAACCCTAAGGTGATTTTTGTAGCAGGTCGTTTTACACAGAGTCTGTAGCTCTACAGATGGTGGTGCTAATGTACATGCACCTGTATATTATTGTTCAGTCTTACTGGCCTCGNTTCAACAGAGGCCTGATCAAAGCTGCCAAGACAACACACAGTGGTGCTTGGATTATTACTGGTAATACACATGGTTTAGTTAAACATAAATGTATGAAGTGAACTTTCACTGAAAAAGGTAGCAAAAAAATGGTTGACTTATATTGGGCTCTTAGTGCCTCTGTGGTAAAAGCAATGCATGTATTTTATGCTTCATTCTGTGTTTTAAATATGGTGGTTAGAGGCATATGCATTATGCTGTAGTAGTATAAATTATTTCACATATAAATGGTCAAGACTAAGATTTTTAATAGGTTACACAGTGTTAATTGTGTTTGTTGTCATTTGGTCAGACATAATATTATTACTCTGGTAAGTTAAGCAGACCACAGCAGCAGCTGTGATAAGAATGTTGTGTTGTATACATAGGCTCAGCATCTTGGTATATTTCTTAGCCCCCCACTTCAGCATTGTAGTTGTGTATAGTTTTGCAGTAGTCAACCGTTGTTTAATTATTCATCAGGTGGTGTGAATCTTGGCATAATGAAAGCTGTTGGTCAAGCTGTGCTGGAGGGTCAGTCCATGCAGTGGGGAGGGCTGTCCAGTCACCGTCGCATCAGGTGTATAGGCATTGCCACTTGGGGATATGTAGAGAGAAATGAACACTTGATCTGTCCCTCAGAGGGAAAGGTGAGAACAGATTGCAACATTATTTGATAGAGTTCATATTTTGTAGT